ATTCTTCAGCATTTTTAAAATGTGATTCCATTTGACTCTGTGAAAGCCAGCTTTCTAAATTATAGTTCCCATACCATACCATCATTGCTTGAAAATCTTTTGTGATTCCCTGTTAGCTGCAGAAGAAAGTTAATATCTTACTTTAAAATTCAAGACTCTCTCTGCATTCTGGTTTTGGCTTTATCATGAATTGCTTTCCACATAGTCTTTGCTATTCAGACTGAAGGGTCTCATTGTGACTTGAGTACGGCCTATTTTCCTTCTCCCGAGCATTTGGTTTATACCACTTCCTACACCTGGAATGTCCTGCCCCGTCTTCACTTGTCAGAATTCCTATTCAAGACCCAGTCTCAATACCCTCGCCAGTAAGTCTTCCCTTTTCCTCTTAGCTACAAGTAATCTTTCCCTCTTTTCAGTTTTCTTTGCGTTTTCTTACCTTTACTTGGACTTAATCACACTGTTTTGTATTAAAATTAAGATTTACAAAGTAGGTTCCTCACAATCTTGTCGTGATCAGGAATGTAAATATTATTTCCATTTCACAGAGGGGAAAACGAACTTAAAGTGACACCGTCATCACACAGTTTATAAGTTCTGGAGCCACCTAATTCCAAAGACCAATCAATCAGTGTTCTGTCTACCATATGCATCTCTTTGCAACTGAAATCCAGGTCTGGTGCTAATCAGAGGTTCCTAAGGGTCACAGGCAGCAGAGATGTCACCATGTAGCATCTCTCTTGAGAAGAAGTGTGGCTCAAATGAGATAATGTTGGCAAAGCCTTTTGTAAACTTTAAAGCTGCATAAGTAGCTATGTAGGTGTAGTAAATAGAAAGCCAGCCTGGGTTCAAATCCTGCCTCTTACCCTTTCTGGGTTTGATCCTGTGCAAATCAACGACTTAACTTCTTGGTCACTCTTTGCCTGGTAACTCTCTGAGATTATAAGGTGCTCACTGCTGATCTGCAGTGGTAAAGGGAGTTGCCTCACTGGGAGTTCCCTATTCCAGTGAAATTATAGATCTAGATAATAAATGGTCACATTCTTAAAAATAGATTGTTTTGTTCTCTGACTTGGTTTGATCCTTACACTTCCTCTCTCATAGAGTTATTTTAAAAAGCATTTTGTAAACTTTGTAAAGTGGCATAAAAATGGGAATAGTTATAATTAACTTTGAAAACTAACAAACAAAATTCTATCTCTTCCCCCCCTTTTAGTGATAATAATTACAAATAAATGCACCCTGACCTTCATTTCCTCCAAGGGAGCTTAATAGACCTGTCAACTTTCAGGATCCATGAGGGAAATGATTATTATACCTCCAAGTTACCATTTAGTTTAGGAAATTTATCCTGTCAAAAACAGGCAGCTACCTCCTTTATATTACTAGAGCAAACAGCTTAAATTCTGCCAGAATATTCTTCCAAAAGACCTTCTGTGGCCCCAGAAATTCATAGTAGTTTTTCATCATGGAGTTTTTGAGGCAGTGTAACAGGCTCTGCAAAACTAGTTTGCCACCTAGTCTAGTGTGACAAAAATAGTGGTTCACTAAGATCTCTTTGCAAAATATATTAAAGCACTGGCAGTGTTAACACAGAAACTGCGTCTGGAATAGCTGTAGGCCAGTGAAGTTTGCCTAGTTTTTACCTAGAGGCAGCTAAGCTAGATGGTATAATGGATGGAGAGTTGGGCTTAGAATCAAGAGGATCTAAGTTCAGATCCTGCCCCAGGCACACTAGCTTTGTGACCCTGGGCAAATCACTTTACCTCTCTCAGACTGTCTCCTTATATGTTTCAAGTTACCTCCAGGGTCACCTAAACAAAGCATGAATTCCCAACAAATCATCAATCCCACCTCTGCCCAGACACCCAGTGACAAAGAACTCATTACACCCTGTTGTAGATTGAATAGCTCTAACTATTGGGAAGTTTTTCTTTACTTTTAGCTATACCTTGCATTCTTTTACCTTCTTTCAGGAAGTAATGGCTTCTGTTCTGAGGTCAAGCAGAACTAGTCAAATTCTCCTTCATCTGATATTTGAAGATGGTGATCAAGTCTTAATATTTTCTTTAATATTTTCCCCTACCGAACATTTAACTGAATCTAGCTTCTAAACTTCCTAATTCTCTTGTAACCTAGACCTTCAATTAAGCTGCTTTTTTTAACCTATCTGGGTACACTGCAAATTTGTTACATAACCTCAGCTGGGTCCTCACTGCTTCCAGGCAATCATTCTGTAACTCTATAATTAACAATACTCTGAATTTTTCTATATTTTCGTGACACTGTTCTCCCCCTGTTCTCCTCCTACCTGTGTGACTGCTCCTTTTCAGTCCCCTGGATCTTCATCCAGGGCACACCCGCTAACCATGGGAGTTCCCTCTGTACTACCTCACTTGGTGATCTCATCAGTTCCTATGGTATCAATTTTCATTTCTATGAAAGTGATTTTCAGATATATATAGATATATAGATATATAGATATATCTAGCACTAACCTCATTGCTGACCTTCAGTCTCATATCTTGAATTGCCTCTTGGACATTTCAAACGGGATATCTTGTGGACATCTTAAACTGAGCATGCCCAAAAGTGAATTCATTGTCTTTCCCCAAAAAATTCTTTCTTCTTATCTTCTCCATGCAAGGGTACACCATCCTCCCTGTCACCCAGGCTCACAGATTCCTTGTCATACTCAGCTGCTTACTTATGCCACACGTACAATCTATTGCCAAGACCTGTCATTTCTACCTTTGTAATGTGTCTTGTATATGCCCCCTTCTCTCCTTTGAACACTGCCACCACTCTAGTGCAGCCCCTCATCATCTTGCACCTGGACTATGTCAGTAGTCTGCTGGTGGGTCTCCCTGCCTGAAGTCCTGTCTGCCCCCCATTCTATTCCACCCTCCATTCAGATGTCAAAGTAATCTTCCTAAATTTCAGTCCCCTTCTTCCTTCCTTTCCCACCACTGCTAGTGTTTTCCTGAGATCACCTTCACTTTACTCTGTATTTATCTTGTATGTACTTAGTTGTTTGCATGTTGCCTCCCCCATTAGAATGTGAGGTCCTTGAGGCCAGGGATCTGTTTTTGCCTTTCTTTGTGTCTTCAGGACTTAGCACAATGCCTGATACATAGTAGGTATTTACTTGTAAATGCTTGCTAATTGACTCTTCAGATCTTGTTATTAGAGGTTTTTCTTGCATGTGCTGCCACATTCATTTTCCTGGAGCCCAACTGAGATCACGATATCCCTCAGGAATCTTCCATGATTCCTTATTGGCTACACGAAAAAAGTCCACCCTCCTCAGCTTGACATTCAAGGCCCTACACTTGTTCCATTGTTCCATTGTTGATTTGGCCCTAACCTGCTTTTCCAGATTCTCATAAAATTTGAATTAGAATGGACCTCAGTAGGCATCAACTCCAGCACATCCCTGAAATGTAAATCTCTTCCATAATCTCCCCTGAGAGCCACTGTTAGAGCCCTTGGAGTCCATGTAGTGCAATATGACCACAGGCAGGTCACCTTCCTTCTCTGGGTCTTTGTTCCCTCTTCTGTAAATTTTAGGTTCTCTTCCAGCTTTAAATTATGTAGTCACTTTAAAGTCTTTTAAGAGAGGCAATTGTGTCCCACAAAATGGAAGGCATTTTCCCCAAGTCTCACAGCTATTAAGTGGTATTACCAAGACTAAAACCCTGGTCTGCTTATTCCTATCCATTTCTTTCTGTTGTAACATAGACTTGCTCTCAGTTAAGAAGCCCAGTCTTGAGGGGCAGCATAGCACAGTGGATAGAGAAATAGGCCACAGGGCACCTTTCAGGCCTTTGGGCAGCTAAAACTAGGAGATGCAAATCTGCCTCAGTGGAGGGAACTCTCAGCACCAATGAAACCACAGGTCTGGTTAGGAATTTTCTACAAAAGAAAGAAAGGAACAAAACCTGGACTTCATTAGTGCTCACCCCAGACTACACAGTAATTCCAGGAAAGAAATTATTCCAGAAACAGTTTGATGCAATGAGCATTTATTAATTGCCTCCAGTGGACTTTTACATCTTCTGAGAGAGATACTCATCCTAGATAATACATGATTCTGCCCTAATGGAGTTTACATGGTAGACTGTGGCTACAACAAACAAATATTGAGTATGGAAATTAGAACATTCCTTAGAAGAAATATTTTGGATGAGCTCTAAAGCAGAGGTTTGCCTAACACTCCCTGATTAATATGTAAAACAAATAAGAATACAGTAGAACATAGACAATGTTAATATGTCTTTTTCTAAGTCAATAAGTGGCTCTCAGGGATCCTTATATATGCTTTAGTGGCCCGCTTTCTATTTCATTTTGATACCACTGCTGTAAAGGATGTATAGTAGGAATCCAAATCCAACAGATGGGTGCTGGGAATGATGGATTTCAGACAAAGTTAACATCTAAGCCAAGACACAGAGACAGGAAAGACAGGGTGCTCAGCTCAAGAGTTTTAACTTTGCTGTGGTAGTCATTTCAGTCACGTCCGACTCTCTGTGACCTGATTTGGGGTTTTCTTGGCAAAGATATTGCAATGGTTTGCCAGTTCCTTCTCCAACTCATTTTACAGGTGAGGAAACTGAGGCAAACAGGGCTAAGTGACTTGCCTAGAGTCACACAGATTTGAACTCCTGACTTAAACTATCTAGCTGCCCTTCTAACTTTACTCGGCAGGCAATAAATAGCCACAGAAGGGTTTTGAGCAGAGAAGTGACAAGACCCATTCTGTGCATGAGGGAGATTAAGTCTGGAAGCCTATTAAAGATGAATTTGGAGGTGCGCAGAGAATCAAGGCAGGGAAGGCTTTGTGTGGCTATTGCAGTAGTCCGGGGAAGTGGTAATGAGGGCTCTAGAAATGAGAATAAATAGAATTTTACAAGTAGATACCAAGTTTCTGTCTTGGTTTATACTGATGGTGTTTGCTAAATCCTTTCTCCGTTTAAAATTTTGTTCCTTTTTCTCCCCACCAGCTTTTTCGACGTGTGGCAGCAGCTTTGCCTGGGATGGAGAGCACACAGGACAAAAGCAGAGAAGACAGTATCCTTCATGTTTCCATCACTGTGACTTTAGAGAGTTTTATTTTTAACACCAGCATTGATAGGGCAGGTGGGGGCAGCATGGTGCTGCCTTTAACATGAGGCCCAGAGTTATGCTTAATCAGGGCACATTCCCTCAGCATGCTGCTGGTACCCGTGAATCAATGGGCAGGAAGCTGAGTTCCCAAGTCTCCTGCTACTGCCCAGTGTATCCTAGTGAGTTGGGGCCATCTCCAGCATGGCTACCATACTCATTTCTCTACTCCTTCTTCCCTTTCAGTTGCCTGTGTCATCCTGGCATGGAATAATGGAACAAGCTCCTTTGTATTCTCTGCTATGAGAGATAGGACAAGATTTTAATGCCATTTATTCCATATCAGTATAAGCCTGGTTAGTTAAAGGAATAGGATGTGTGTGTGTGTGTGCGCGCACGCGCGCGCTAAAGCTGTTACCAACCAGCCCACAGCTTATAGACGTGCATTTAAAAGGACAAGCAGTTTTATAGAGATACCAGCTGGGGAGATAGAGCTGTATTGGGTGTTGCTGGAGATGTGGGGGGTTCTGAACCACACTGAGGTAACTACTGCTCAAGAGAAAGGGCTCTCTCAGAGCATTGTCTGGCAGCTGCACTCCCACGCATTGCTAACCTTAGTGTTTTAAAGTCCATGTGGCCTTCTTCATCTGTTCTTGTGTCACTTTATACTCCCATTAGGCATTTGTGTTTGCCTGTGTATGTGTCTAATAAATACTCCAACAAAATGGTTAGTTTTTTGACCGCAGGGAACGGTGTCTTTTTGTTGTAAAAGTATCCTAGGGTAGTGACTAGGAGATCAGAAGGCAGGGAATTGTATCCCAGCTTTTGGCTTGCTTGTTGTCTGGCCTCAAGCATACCCATTCACCTCAGAGACAGCTTCTGCATCTATGAAATGAGAGTGATGATAACACTTGCACCATCTTATCCCACAAGTCTATGAGGAGTGTACCTTATAAACCGTTCAGTGCTATGGAAGTGAAAACCCTGAGTGTATCTGCCATCACTGCCGCCAGGGGCTCTTTCTTGCATGCACTCCATGCTTAAAGATGTTTGAACAGGTGTGAGACAAGGGAGTGTCCAGATTTTTTTGTTTTGTTCTCCTTCCTATTTTGGCTCAGCCCGCCGGGGCCATGTATGCAGGTGTGAAGATCTGTAGTTCAGTAGTGGCTTTATCACTGCAGGAGTCTGAGGGCCCTGAGCAGAATGCTACCTTTCGATTCATTCTTCCTTAACTTGTTTTTCCTTCAGTGATTGACATAAAACTGGAAAAGCCTCAGGAGCCGCCAGTTAATGAAGGAGGCTGTTCCTGCTAATACCATGTGGTTCCTTGAATCCTTCCCCAGAACCTCACTGCTTTTGCCCCCTTACTCTTCATTGACTGCAGTGTGAATATTGGCTTGAACCTTCCCCCTTCAGTAATAACGTATTGCGATTCATCATTGCTGGCTGTCTCGTGGAGATGATCTCTTAGCTTCACAAGCACACACACACACACACACACACACACACACACACACACACACACAAAATATGTCAGTGTCTTCATTATTTATATAAAAAAGCCAAAATATTCCAGCATATTCCAGTGATAACTTTAAAAACTAGGTACATTTTCTTAACATTTGTTCCTTTTTTTAAATATGTTAGGATAGTGCACTTTGAAATTATGGAAATCTCAAAGGTCTAAGTTTGACTTGGTTAAGGAGCAATATGTTCAGAATAGCACTCACCTCTCTACCTGATCTTTCCCTCACTCTCCCACTATTCCCCCAAAACCAACCTGCCCCTGATACCTTTATCCCTGCCTCACAAAGCAAATTAGAAGTAGCCCATTAGCAGTCAAGGCAGGCAGATTTGGCATATCTAAGTCAGCCTTCAGCATTAGGGATAACCTAGGCCCCTGTCCTTGGGCAAAGATTGATACCATGAACCTTCTTTTAGCTCACTCATGGAATTTTCTTGAGACAAAGCCAACTGGCATCATGGAAAGGACAGTGTTCTGGTGGGGGATAGGCTTAGAAAATGATTCTTTTTAATAAGTCAGCTTGGACACACTGAAGGGAGCCAGTTGATAGTGACTGACAGCCTAGTCTCTCTGACCAAGAGAAATAACTCCCTTCATGTGTGTTTACCCAAACACTGCAAGCAACAAATAACCAGGTATTTCCATTCATGTTGCATTTTTAAAAATAACTGTACCCACTCCTCGTGGTAAAATTGGAAAGACATTGTGGACACTCCCTCATCAAGGTTTTAAGACTGTGAAGTGGGAGCTATTACATTATTGAAAAACTTTTTAAAAGCAACAGATCTTTTCCCCCTCTTTCTCTGTCTTTGATCCAGTACAGACAAGGCACTGTGTAAGTATAACTCCCCAAAGAAAGAGTGGAAGGATTTCAGGTTTGACCTTGGTGTAACTGGCAGAAAAGGTTGTAGGCAAAAAGACAGAAACCCTCAGAAGAATAGCATGTACTTTGCTGAGGACATTTGAGGTCAAGTTGGAGAGGGTAGCAGTTTACTTGTAAGCCCTCAAAGCCTTTGTGGACAGGGAGAGAGAAGAAATGAAATGCAAGATTATGCAGGCTTATGCCATTAATTTCTGGCCTTTTTATGTTGGGTCTTCCAGGTCGGGTTTGGTTTTTTTCCATTATATCTGTATAGTTTGATTAATTAACCAGGAATTTAGTTTTATATTTTAGCTAAGCTACAACAATTATACAATTAACAGTTTTCCTTTGGTGATATTTATTTCCTTGCCTTTGTTCCTTTTAAAAAAAAATTACTTCCTATCTTTTTGGCTGTTGTGTCAAGGAATCTGTCTTGAGCTTGGTCAGTGTGGCGATATGTAGCGCCTCCCCACCCTCAAACCACCATTTCCCCCTCACCCCTGGAAAAAACACTGCAAACAATACACTAGGAGTGCACCCTTTTATCCTTTACTAGTTATTGTGAGATTGCTGTGTAAGTCAATAAACACATTTGTAAATACATTGTTTGCAGAAAGAGAATTGCGGAGTTATAGTGCAGGATGGCCATTCCAGAATCTGTTGTAAACATTACTTAACATAATATAATAAAGGTGAAATTTCAATGAAACAACCTCCCCCTCTGTCCTTTGCCCTTCAAAAACTAACAAACTGGGAAAATCTGCACTCACTTTCTTTCCTCCCCAGACCCTCTTTGTCACCAGGAAGTATATGCCCCAAGTGCTTGGATTATGGAACTGAATGGAAGACTCCATCAACTGGGGTTTCAGGACTAGCATTAGTCTTCATACCAGTAACTTATGTTATTAAAAAAAAAAGCAAATTGGGATGGAAAGTGCTTTTATAATGCAATATTGTTGTTAAAGGCAAGTTTTTTTGACATGGCATGTCCTGAAATAAATATCAATTAAATATGACACGAATCAATCTTTTTTTAGGGTTCTGGTGGGGTATGGAACAGGACTCAAACTTTCATGGAAACATTAGATCCTTTTTATATTTGTTAAGGAAAGGAAGCAGTTTGTAGTTTTTGATACAGATCTAAGCATTCTTGGGGTGAGAGATGGCTTAGGGATCTTAAACTGAAGTAGAGATGTATATTCATGTTGCAGGTTATTTTTTAAACAATCACGTTACTTGCTGCCAATAAAATATGGGTGTAACACAAAAGAAAAACTCCCACTTTCTCCTCTTGGCCCCTGCCCCAACCTTGTAAACTGTCCTAAATTTGGAATCCTATGGTCAGTGGAGTCTTATTAACTTGGTTTTAACAAGGAGAGCTCCTGATTCTTTGGAGGTAGCATAATGCTGACAGTTCACTTGAGGCAGACTTAACTGCTTCATCTGGAGAGACTCATACTAGTACTACCTACATTAACAAGTTACGAAATAAAGTTGGTCATAATATGATCATTGTCATTTTTGCACTAAAGTTCTTATTGTGGTGTGGAGGTGATGGCTTCTCAAAGGCTCCCATTATAATCTTTGGCAAGTCCTACCACACGGGAAAGACTAGATGTAGGCCCAGCGATGGACTTAGGTCTGTATCTTAAGGGCCAGCCTTGCCAAGTGCAGAAAGGCTCTTAAACAGGTTGGTGATGGGATTGTTTGGACAGCAACTCTTGAAACGGTCTCCTGACTTGTGAGAAGAGCTTGCCATCTCTTGAGTGGAGGGAGTATCCTTTAAAATGGAGCATTCTTTCTCATAAGCTTTAGCCTTCGAGGTGAAACACAGTTAACTCACAACTTTTAAAAATACATGTAAGGTTTTTTCCTTCTCTCTTTTCTTCATTTCTTCTCTATTTTCCTTTCTCTCTCTCTCTTTTTCTTAAGTGGAATAGGCTGCTGGGATTGTCTGGTCCAGGCATAGGGAACCTGCGGCCTTGAGGCCACATGTGGCCCTCTATGTCCTTGAGTGTGGCCCTAGGACTGAATCCAAACTTCACAGAACAAATTCCCCTTAATAAAAGAACTTGTTCTGTAAAACTTGGACTCAGTCAAAAGGACTTACAAGTCAGGTAACTGAAGTTCAGAGCGAAACTGAAGATCACAAGTTCTCTGTGGCAGATAATTGGACTAGACCTAGAACCTTCTGGTTTTTAGAGAATCTTATTTTCTACTACACTAGGCTTCTTACCCAGCTAACCGGTACTATTTGTTTCTTAATCATTACTATCAGTAAATATTGAACATAAAGAGCAGTGTATCCATCATGTTCCTGGTGAGGGGCTGTTTTTTTTCCCCAAGAAGTTTTGGTGTCAATGGACAAAACATCGCCTAGGGCAGAATGTTTGCTAATTGTTATTTGTTCCCCATTGAGGACAAAATTAGGCCTTAGAGGGAGGCGCATCTGGTAGACCTGTTGGTTTTAAGATCTCAACTCAAAAAACCAAGTTGCCTGCCAAATAGACTAGGAAGTCTATGGGAAGCATAAACTTCCCATTTCCGTGATCTTATAAAAGTAATACTAAACATTTCAGTGTTTGGGAGCAGTTTAATTTACAAGTCATGAGAACAAGGCTCCTTTTTGAGCTAATAGAAGGTGACAGTACCCACCAGGAAACAATTCTTCCTTTCTTTATGTTTTGCAGCTCCATGGAGCACCCTGGCCTGGAGTCAGGGAGACCTGAGTTCAAATCCAGTTTCAGATATATATTAGCTGTGTGACCCTGGGCAAGTCGCTTAACCCTGTTTGCCTCAGTTTCCTCATCTGTGAAGGGAGCTGGAGAAGGAAATGGCAAACCACTAAAATATCTTTGTCAAGAAACCCCTAAATGGGTTCACGGAGAGTCAGACACAGCTGAACAACAACAACAACAACAAAATCCTTCTACACAGCAATGCCTGTTTCTGGCAGCTCTAACCATTCTCAGCAGGCTAGCCCCTGTCCCTGTCCTTCCTCATTGTAATTTTATCATTCTCAATCTTCAATGGATGACAACCTTACTAGGGGTTCAGTTCCCTTAACTGTCCCATTACTGATCAGAAGATAGGTATGTTAAAGTTAAAAAAACAATTCTGTACGCAAGTGCCTTTGATGTAAAACTTTCTTTCCCAGACTCTCCATGTGGGAAGGCCCTTAGTGTTTACAGGAACACTTGCACTCCCAGCACCTCAGAAGTAGAAGGATTTGTAATACCTTCTGAATACAGACTATATAGTATTTAGAGCTGGAAAGACTACCATGACAGAGCCATCACCCCTTCCCTGCCCAGATTTCACAAGGCCTTCCTCCCTGGATCAAGGAGTCAGCACAGCAAAGTTATTAGGAGACAACTCACATTGCCAAGGTTCTAAGGGGAGCTTAACCTGGGGTCTGTGAACTTGAAATTGGTAACTATTTCAATATTTGTTTCTTTTGGAATCCTATATTTCAATTTATGCATTTCAGAACATTCTAAGGAGTATTATGACTCAAAAAAAATGTTAAGACCTGTTCTAAGTTCTGTCTGAAGAGGGCCTGTAAATCATTGTCAGCTCAGTTGTGCTGAAAGATCATGCCACAATAATTTACTTCCTAGTTATTGTATTGGCTCTCCAGTTCCAGTCTTGCAGCCTCAGCATAATCATGCCCAAACTACCCGCTCCAGAACCATCACCCCTCTTCCTTTCCTAGTCCCACTCCAACCTTTACTTATCCATTGTGCCTCTTGGAACTTCTGAACTATTATCTGCAAACTAGTGTCCAGTCTATCTTGACTTAACTACCCATCTTGCCAGCCTCCTTGCCACCATTCCCCCAGTTCAGTTCTATAAGCATAATGAAATCAATTCTATAATTACTCCAGAAAAGGGTGTGTCAATCCACTCCCTTATGGCTCCACTCACCATCCCTCTAACTTATCAAACCACAGTTTCCTTCCTTTGGCCACTACTTCCTTTGAGATATAGATAGATTCTCTCTCCCCATTAAGAATATAAGCATCTTGAGAGGAGGAACTGTTTTGGGTTTGTTTTTGTATGTTGTGTTTGTCTCCCCAGCACTTAGCACATTGGGACATATTAAGTGATTAATGTTTTTGTTTTTTGTTTTTGTGGTTTTTTTTTTTTTGGTTCATTCATTTACCAATTAATAAGTCCTTGAATTCAACCAATATTCTTTCCACCAACTCCTTTAACAGAAAGAAATTTGGGGATATTACATTCCTTGCAACCCACTCTCCTGAAGGCCATTCTTTCTCCCCTTGACTCCCAGGGCCAGAAGACAAGGCATGCTTTTTGTTTCATGCAATGCTTCTAAATCATTTCTCTGCCACCACCATCTGTAAATTATTTCTTCTTTTAAAGGCTATTATTAGTTTGGGCCACATGTTTCATAACTCCACCTTCCCAACCTTGTTGCTATCACCTATAGAACTTTTCAATTAAATTTTGTATCTAACTTTTGGTTTTGTTCTCTTTTAAACTAACATTTAAGGGCTTGCTATCTGCTAGGCACAGTGCTAGGCCCTAAGGATGAAACTATTAACAGCAAAACTACATTTGTCTTCTGAGAACTTACTTTGTTTTGGGGAGGAAAGGAGGGAGGGAGGGAGGTTAGATCCAAAGTGCTCTAAGACTAAGGAGGAAGAGAATACTTATAGTGTTATCTAGATAACGCCGTATTGCCTGGCCATCGTCCTGTAGTTCTTCATTATTCTTTGTTGACTCCCTGTAGCAACCTGATCTCAGTTTCTCACATCTAAGGTTCTTTATCATCGATTTTTTTTTGAGGTTTTATCCATGTTTTGTTCTATATTACATACATTGACAGATTGTGTCCACTTCGTGTAAGGTGTCTGATAACAATTAGTTAAGTAAATCACAATACGTGCATGCAGCATTTCCCAGCTGTAGCACTCCTTTTCTTTTAACAAGTCTATTCATTCTCTCTATCCCCCCGCCTCCTGTAGTCACTCCATTAAAAAAATTCTTGTAACGAATTTTCATAGTTAAGCAAAACAGAATTCCTTCAATGACTGTATACAAAACTATATGTCTCATTCTGTACTCTGACTTTACATGTCTCTATAATAATTGTGTTTCACAATTGATCTTTTAGATTCATGAATAATCAATACAAATAATTGCATTGATCATAGTTCTTACAATTCTCAAAGTTGTTTTTACAGTGTTATTATTGTACAAGTTCTTCTGGTTCTGCATATTTTATTCTGTATCAGTTTATTACCCATTTTCACTTACAAACAGTTACCTGGTTTTGGAATTGAGCTACTTCCAAGATCCAGAAATTCAAAACTCCCAGTTTGATCACAACTCCCTGTCTTAACCTCTTCCACTCATGCAAAACATGCTAGTCATCCTTATTTGGCTTCCATATTCTCCCAGTCCACCTCCCCCCACACACTTTGGTTTGCTTGTCTTTATATCCAGCTCAATGCCACATTAGTGTCTCACTCTCTTCAAGTTCCTTCCTTTCCTACCTCTTCCCCTTTTGCCTGTCTTGACTTGGAATTGTCATCCTTGGATAATCCTTACTATCTGATTTCTTTGTTTCTGCCACTAGTCTGCAGAGAAAAATAAAAAATTGAGCTGTTTCACCTGTTACAACTTTGTAGTATATTAGCTCAACTGGATCTTTGCCCAATAATCCTATGTTATCAACTAATTTTTTCATTTCCTACAAAGACTGTTTCAAGTATTTTTTTTCCCTCTCCTGAGCATCCATGTCTCTCTGTCTGTCTGTCTGTCTCTCTCTCCTCTCTCTCTCTCTCTCTCTCTCTCTCTCTCTCTCCCTCCTGTAATCTGCCCAGGGTCACCCATCTGCTAAGTGCCTGAGGCTGCATTTGAACTCAGGCCTTCTACCCACTGCACCAACTAGCTGCCCCTCTGTACTTTCTGCACCATTGGCCTTCCAGCTTTCTCATTTTGCTACTAAATTTCTTGTAAAAGTTGTCTATGCCCAATGCCTCCATTT